AAGGACCCGCAGGACTATTTCACTGCTTTGGTTTGTGGCCTGACAAGTGTCAATGTCATGAACATCATCGAGCACGAGCTGAACGTGAGTGTCAGCGTTCCGGAACCGCCGTACTTTGCGACCGAGGTGCAGGGTTTACGCATGGAGGAGTGTCAAGAACCAGGGTCAAAGACTCCGTCCACAAAGTCGCCAATGAGGGTCAAGAAGGAGAGTGGTGAGCAGCAAGAACCAGCATCAGGGGCAGGGTCAGCATCAGGGGCAGGGTCAGCGTCACCGGCATTCAAGACGCCTACCCCATCCAAGAGGAAGCGTCAGAGTGGTACGCCACCTGAAGCTGGCAGCGGATCCCCACAGGTGTGAGCGTCAGACCACAGCGTCACTACGGATTGCCAACATCAGACCAGAGGGTCCAGTCGGTAGGAGTGCCAATTGTCAATGTCAGTCAGTCAGTGTTCTATGTGCTGCTACGCACATTATGTGTTTCAAGACTGCTTGCTGCTGAAACTACATCAGAGTCAGCATCACGTTTGTGACTTAGCTATTGGGTTTGGGCTGCTAGGGTTGGCCTTCATTGTGTGAGATCCGTAATTATTGAATTAACCAGCTGGTACAATCAAAAACAGGTGTCAAATTAAATTAACGCTTAGTGGAACTGTTCGTAAGCAGCTGCAAGCAGCCGTCAACCCTCAGTGTCATTCAGCCAAGGCCAAAGCATTGCGTCAGTCATTACTTATTTGCTCTGAGTAGTGCTGTGGTCATAGTATTACGGTGATGCGGTTGTTTGTTTGATGGTTTTGCATTGCCAGCCTTGGAATCGTCAGTGTCAGTGGCAGAGCCCGCAGAGAGTCATGGCACGCGCAGTGAAAAAAGATCCTGGCAGTGGCAGCAGCGCAGAAGCACAGCTAGAGCATTCAACAAGCGTCACAGAGTCAATTGCATTCATTGAGAAACCTGATGTCGAAGCCAAGGTTTGCATTAAATTCAGAGTCAAGTGCTGGCACAGCTGATTGTTTTGGCAGGCCCCCGTCGTGGATGCGCTGGCACTGGCGCCTGATGTTTCGTGTTGTGTTTGCAGTGTCAGCGTCACACCTGTGCCGTGATGATTTGATTACAGAGTGATGTGGCCACTGAGCAGTGTCATGCCCCAGCCCAGGCTTTGTTCGAGTAAGAGCGTCATGCCCAAGACCCAACATGCTCGTGTGATAGTCAGTGTGGCAACACGTTGACGCAGCGTCAGTCTTTACAGTTTTGGGCTTTTTGGAGCCAATTCAGAGTCGAGAGCTTTACCAATGGCAGCGTCATTGGCTGCGGACAAAAAGCGCGCGCCAGCGTCATTGGCTGCAGACAAAAAGCGCGCGCCAAAATGTAGCCATCACCCACACATTCAACTTGTCAGCCAACCCTAGACCTAACCCTACAGAACCCCCGGAACCTTCGGTTTAATTCGGTCTAAGGGGGTTGGTGCAAACCTAAGTTCGCAGAACCCGCTGCCTTCCCCCCGCAGTCCGTTACCCCCATCCGCGGGGCCCTCATATATTACATAATGTGACTATGTAACATGTTCCAACAGGGTTTCATTGAGTTTATTAATTATAGGGTTCAGGATCATCCACGTCTCTGTCTCTTGCGCCAGGTGGTCACTGGGAGAAGTCTTTGAAGCTCCTGGGTGATGCGAGGACGGATGCTTGTCGCGGTGCAGACTGTTGAACCGGCTTTGCGCTTCGCTTCGCAGGCGCCGGAGAATGAGGCTGGATGGCATAGCCTACAGTTGGAGGCTTAGTGACCCGGACCCTCGAACCTTACAACTTTGCACACGGCGAGGCTCGCATCAGCCTTGGCCTAAGGTGCAGCCATCGCTGCTTGCCAAGTTGGGACTCAATGGGCCCAGGCAGCAGCTGCACCGATGGAGGGCATCAAGCTTTTCAATTTGTGGTTAACCTTACATCAGGCAGTGCAGCTGCTGCGGCAGATGCAAGAAGATGACATCGTTCCAGACGAGAACACGATGCTTGACTGCATTAAATCGCATTGGAAGCATTGCTGCGTCAAAGCTTTCGAATCCTTCCAGAGCCTGTCATCCCTTCATAGTATAGTTCATTCTTGAGATTTCAATGACTCGAAGCCAAGTGAAAGACACCGAACCTCTCGCAGGATGATTTCTGCGATCATGGCGTGGGCTTCTTAGATTTCGAGCTGCGCTGGCGGGGCCGAGAACCGAGCGTGTCATGACATCGGGGCCTTGATGCCTCAAGGTTGAGATCCATAGCAACTAGCGGTCCAGATCTTCTACTTATCAGGACCATGAGGAGGGCCCAGAAGCCCCCCAAGCCCAAACCCCCCTTACCCCTAAGTTCTTGGCCTTGACCCTTTAAAAACGGTATACCCTCTTCTATAAGTCTTGAGGCTTGAATTTGCAAGCCCTAAACTCTTGAGGCCACTGGTCAACAAAAGCCCTAAACCCTGAGCCCTACACCCCTAAACCCTAAACCCTCCCAAGGTGTCGAGCCCTAAACCCTAAGCCCTACACCCCTAAACCCTAAACCCTTGGGAGGTGTCGGGACTGTGAGCAGACCGACGCTGCCGACGAGTGCGGTTCTTGGAACGTCCAGGTTTTTGGGCTCAGGGCCCAAACAGGGATCCTATGAGGGTTTCTTTTCAGGATGAACACGGGGCTAGGGGAGTTCAGATGTTTAGGGTTTGGGGTCCAGGGTTTGAGGTTTTGCGGTTGGCCTGTAGAGCTTGAAGGGTTTAGGGTCATGGCTCCATGGTTGCAGCGGTATGGGGTTCAGGGCCGTGAGTGTTGGTGGATTACAGGCTGGACCATATCCCCTGCAAAAAGTCATCGTCATCAGATCTTCGCATCTATGGTGATAGGAACCTATGGTGATATTATCGTGGCTATCCGTAAGAGGCACAGGAAAAGGTAGGTAAGGTAGGAATGCAATGATACTGTGGATGACTCGGTACGCTTCAGCAAGCAAAAGAATGGTGGAGACTGTAATATCAACCGTGGTAGTTGACGATCGATCTTGGCAGAGTCCCCGCCCCGCCTCGAGCCAAGGGCAGAGTGTGGTTCGGGGATGCTTTCCAGTGCTTCAGTCACTTTGCAGATTCATAAAAGGCTGTATTCAGGATACTGCCACGAAGTGTCTTCAACAGGTATGCGAGGTCCTTCATTTTCTGAAACTCGGATTTGTGCACACGTTCTGCAATATTGTTTCGGAAGGCTAATTTGAACAATCCCATTCCCCGGGCGATGAAGCCTCTGGACATAGCTCCAGGCTCCAGCGTCAGCTCGATGACTTCAGGCCTGCTCCGACCTTGGTAAGATTCGGCTTGTCCTTGGACTTCGTACGCCCCGCACGGGCTCGCAGCTTCCAATTCGGTTCACTTCCACCGTGATGCCAACAGTCGCAGGAAGTTGCCCAAGCGGCTGAAATCAGATAATGAGGTACTGTAACAATTAAATAGCTAAATGTTCCAATATATATATATATACACCTTATAAGAATACTGAAACCGTGTACTGTAGCTCAACCATGTGTTACCATGAATAAGCAATGCTGCTGGACCTGTCTGGGTTCGTCATGATAGATATAGGAGCATGTGCCTTACGACTGCTTGGAGGTAAGCCAGCACGTTGTCATAAGACCTCTTAGGCTAAATGTAGCTGTCAATGCCAAGAAACGTTGAGGGGAAGCCCTTGCAGGAGGTCGGGACGCCGACCGGGAAGACAGGACCGAGTCCGTCAATGCTGGATGCTGTTGAGCTTATCCTGCATGATGGTCCAATGTCGCCTTCATATAAACTAGTTCCACTAGCACCATGCATTATGACTATTGTAGTTACAAGTATTGTTTTTGTTGTTGTTACGAGTACGATGATTGCTATTATGCTATCGATAGTTTCAACGCACTACTACCAGGACCACAATTGCGGTTACGTGTTACTGCAAATTCACTTTTGCATCATTCTCGCAACTTGCGGTGCTTGTGGTCTTCTAAGATGGGGTATTAATTAGCACAGGACCTTTCGCAAATCGCAAAACCCCGACGCCAGATTGCGCAATGTCGGACATTGCAATCAAGAAAGGAGTCGGGATAACGAAAAAAACAGAAGCAGTCACACTCCCTGATATTATGCTGCTATAGTTGTTACAGCAACCCCGCTATATCAGAGATGTGGAGGACGGTGGCCGGGCTGTGAGGCTCACCACGGGCTTGTCTGCTAGGCATAGCTGCTGATTCTTGCCAGTTGCCGGCCTACCGTACACATAGTTTAGGGAGCAGATTTGACTATGCGTTGCAACTTATGAACTATTGTGCTGTAGAGCTGTTCCGAGACGTGTAGACGATTGAGATGAGAGTTTGAGTGGAGGGCCATTTGACCCCTCCTTGCAGTGAGAAGGCAAGCCGGGACACCAGCAAGACCCTCAGTTCCACAGACGCTCGCGTTCTGAAGATGCCTGCAGCTCTTCCCATGTCCGAGACTTGCTTCTCCAGGAGGGAGTCCCGAGCCTATGTTTACCATTTAATAGTAATATTATTGCTAGTTTTACTATTGTTATGACTTTTCTTCTTATTTTTATAGGCATCCACAGACTGGCTACTGTTTCTTCAGGTCGGCCAGGCCGGGTTCGAGCGAAGGGCCGGCATATCGGAGTGACAAAAAAAGGGTCGGCAAGCGAAGGGCCGGCAGTTGATGGCAATGTCACCTTGGCACATGGGTACCACATCGCAGACGCAAGCAGACTCCATAGAATGGCCCAAGGTCCCCTTGCATTTGTGATAAAGTTTGGGGGTGGCGATGGTCACTGGCGTTGCCTGCCTCCGTGTCCACGCGTTCCCGGCCAGCTCTGAGACGCCGCGAGGCGCCAAGCATGGTGTCTGCGAACTTGCGGAAGTGTCTCTTTTCCCATTCACGCGACGGCCTTGTACAAAGCAAGCTTGAGCTGGTGATGAATCACGAGCCGGACAAGTCTCAGCTGGCCCTGGAAGGGCATGGCCGACGCACGCATTCTGATTGACGGTGAGAGGTGGCAGCAGGCTTTGCAGGCTGTGGCCGCGGGATACTTTCACCCATCACCAGCCGTTTGGACGTCCTTGCTGAGCTCGTGTTCTCGTCAGGCATCTTGGCAACTTGCCCTTCAGCTGCTTAACAACCGGCCAGAAGCGATTCCATCAAATCAAGTGTTTTTCAATGTGGCTGCCTCGGCATGTGGCACCGGAGGAATCTGGACTTGCAGCCTTTCGGTGGTAAGGGACATGCAACTACGACGTTTCAATGCAGACCACTTCAGCTACGGAGCTGCTGTGGCATCTGGGCTTTCCTGGGCCAAAGGTCTATCCATCTTGCAGAGCGCCGCAATGCAAGGAGTTGAGATGAACATTGTGATGGCCGGGTCCCTTGTCGGTGGAGAGACCATGCCATGGAGTTTCAGCCTGGAGCAGTTGACAGGCCTGCGGCACTCCTCGCTCCGAATTAACACAATCACCTGCAATGCGGCCGCATCGAGCTGCGAGCGGATTAGCGGCTGGGAAGCTGCCCTAAGCTTGGCTTTGCAAGTCGTGCAGAGGGATGAGACCACCTGGGGGATCTTCTTGTCCATACTGGCTCATGCCAGCCAATGGCAAGAGGCTTTGCAATGCTTGCAGAACATCCAACACCAGGCACTTAGGGCCAACTCAATCCACGCGACTTCCGCGTTGACTGCTGCAGCCTCCGGCAGTGATGGATGGAAGCAAAGCCTAGCATGCATGATTCAGGCACATCCTTTGTCAAAGCTAGGATCTGTGCGGGTACCTTCGCCGCGGAATGATAGCATTTCATTCTGCATATGTAGTTATTGCCTATGTGACCACCTGTGTATGTCTATTGCGTTTGGCATATGTTCACATGTAGGTCCAGGTTCGGAGGGTTGTGTCAACGTGACATTTGCCTAGTAACTAACTGTTTACATGCATGCATGCATACATGCACATATATCTGCACACTTGCCTGCTTGTTTATACCTACCTACATAGTTCTTCAGGTGTCAACTCTTGGCCTACAATCGAACAGCTTCATGGTCTCAGCGGCTGTCAGCTCCTGCGACAGCCACGTGCGTTGGGAGCAAGCTATCTCTGTGGTTCGGGCTGCATTGTGCGACTGGCTGCGTGTAAACTCCGTGGTCTACAACTCTCTGGTGTCGGCGTGCGCGTCTGGCGCCCAGTGGCTCAATGCCCAGGAGGTGCTTTTTTCTTCGCAATCTCTCGGAGTCAGAGAGAAAGAGGCTCAAGCTGGCGCTAACGCTGCCGTGGAAGCCCTTGGGCGCAGTCTCCTGTGGCTTCAGGCGATTGACTGTCTCCAGCTGCTAAAACCCATGGGCTCCTGGAAGCTGGAGTCAAACATTGCCGCGTATAGCTCTGCACTGACCGGGTGCGCTCGCGCGAAGGCGTGGGCTTTCGGCTTGGACCTATGGCATGCAGCCTCAACCATTGGATTGTCAGACGCGTCCCCGACTCTGAATGCTGTGGTCACCTCAGCTGGTCAAGGGCTTTGGCAGCTTGCCTTCTCCTTGGTGTCCTCCTACCAGGCAGATGCGCCCACCTATGGTGCTGCACTGCGTGCTTGTCTCGAGAAGGCCGGCGATGTGGCGCTCAGCCTCTTCGAGCAAATGCGCCTGAGGAAGATCCATCCGGATGAGGCGGCTTGGTCTGCTGTGATCACGGTCACAGCCCGTGGTGACGCTGGCCAAAGTCAGGCTGGGGACATTCGAAGTGTTGTCTTCTTCTTCTTCCGGAACTTATGTACTAGTAGGGTAATTGCCACCCATCACCCCGAGCAAAACGAAACCACTTCAGCAGCTGCTTGCGACAACCTTTTGTGATAGTATTATGCTCTGAAGTAACAGATTATATAGCTACAATGGTTGTAACTCATAATCCCAACGCTGGTCGTGACAGCAAGACTAAGAATAAATGGGCCTCTGTGTGCAATAGCACAGGCGTTCTTTCGCCTCGTGGAGGAGCTGCGCCCGGCCACAATTCTGAAGATGCGAACAGTCTCCGGCGTTTCCTGTGCGAGAAGAAGCCCCTGCCTTTCAAGTTTAAGGGTGTTCAGGGTTTCAGGAGTGTAGGAGCTGGAGTTTTTGTTTTCTCAATTTTGCAGTCTGGGGGTTTGGCGCCTGAGAGTAGACAGTAGACTTTAGAGATGAGGCTTTGAGCTGTTCCGGGTTTGCGGTCATAGAATTATAGATCTCTGTTGCCTGTCTACTTCTATGTCGCTCGGCGAAGATTCCCGCACAATCGGCCTGTGGAGTTCAGATACGTCCCAGCCTCTACTTGAAGCGCGGTGTGTTCAAGAGACGCAGCACAGCGCTAGCCATGAGGCTCACACAGCAGAGACTTGCTCGTGGCTGCTGATGGCGCGTGCCGGTTCACCAGCTCGGGCCGGTACGAGATATCAGTGGGCCTACAATCCTACAAGGTCGGACACGGCTGTGGAGAAGATGTAGATGACTTCAGCAGCAGAGTAGCAGTGAGCACGAAGAGTTAAGCAGCAGCGTTCGCATGTTTCGTTCCACGGCAAGTACGTATTTGTGGCGTCGTCGCCGTGGTGGTGGCGAGAATAGCGGCAGCAGCGGCAGAGGCAACAGCAGCGGGAGTCCTCGTCGACGTTGCCGTCGTCGTCGTAGCAGTCACAGTCGCAGCCGGCAGTGCCATTAGTAGGTGTAGTGGTGTGGTAGTAGTAGTAGTAGTAGTGGTAGTAGTAGTAGTAGTAGTAGTAGTAGTAGTAGTAGTAGTAGTAGTAGTAGTAGTAATAGTAGTAGTAGCAACAGCACCGCTGGAGTAAAAGTAGTAGTGCTCGTCGTCGTCGTGGTCGTCGTCATAGTAGTGGTGCTGGTGTAGCATGAGTAGCGGTAGCAGTGAAAGTAGCAGCAGCAGCAGCAGCAGCAGCAGCAGCAGCAGCAGCAGCAGCAGCAGCAGCAGCAGCAGTGACAAGTATAGGAGTAGCTAGCAATCACTATCACGTTTAGACGGTGAATGCTGAACGGGGACGATCCGAATCAACAATTCTGATCACTGCAACAACGGATGCACGGAGAAGTTGTCGGGCTGCTCGTGTTGACAGACGATGGGGACAGCAATTGTGGCAATGCTTGCCACCTTGATGCAACGGACGTAGGAGATACGCGCTGTGCTGGCTAGGATCGAAGATTTGTACCCCCATGTTTCACCCAAGGATATAAACCCACGTATCAACTTGAGGAGAGGAGTCTTTCTCTAATAGACTATGGCACTGCTTCGATTTCCGGGAGTGCATGATAGCGGACCCTACACCTCAGATGCCAGAAACTCCAAACCCTGAACGGGGCACTAAAAGAGACGAGCCCATGACTGTAACAAGAACAATAAGCTTAAACCCTTTCCGCCATCACACGGCGCTCCACCTCGCGGGATTGGCCATGTCGCTCTTCACACTTCCTTCGCTATTGAAGCCGGGGCCTTCAGAGTGCACCTTCAACTATTCCCAACATGCCCTCATTTGACGTAATTGTGTGTTTTGCGTAGTATACCATACCATCTGTATCGAAAGTCGAGTCTCGGTACACGGTATCAAAACATACATCAGAGCCGACTGCTCCCGAAACCCGAAGAAGCTGTGCGGGAGTTCTCGGGTTTGCTTATGGATCCAGGTGCGTAGGGGGTGCGGTGAGTTGTGTCTGTCGGACGTTGTCTTTTGCTGGAGTCGTGGCATGTGCAAACTTGAAATGGAACCCCGAACCTGAGCCCTCGAACCCCCCGAAACCGAGCAGCACCGCGCAGCCTCGAGCCTTAGGCATTCCACAGCCTAAGCTGGGTAAGTTCGTAAACAATCCAAGGAGTCGGACTTTCGCTGTGATCAACCCCAGGAAGCCCAGGCTTGGACCAGCGTGACGGGACGGGGTGGGGCGGTGGGGGCGGAGTTCAGAAAATGAAGAGTGGTCCTCAAATTGTCAGTATCACCAAAGGATCACCACAGATTTATTTTCAACCTCCCATATGGGAGCTTCCGGAAATTTGGGGTACCTTATTTTGGGGTCCTTATAAGTATCCGACTGTTTAGGGTTCTAAATTAGGGTCCCCAATTTTCGGAAACTCCCATTTGCTGCCTTGACAGGAGAAGCTCCCATTCCCTCAGCCGTCTTAGCGACGAGGAGCCGAACAAGGCGACACGGCTCCCAGTGTCCATGTGGGAGAGTCCGAAAATTTCGGGATACCTCATTTTGGAGTGCTTGTAATAAGGATCCTACTATTTAGGGTACTATGTTTAGGGTCCCCTATTTTCGGAAGCTCCCATATAATTAGGGGCCTGGAATATTCGAATAGCGCTTGGGGAAATTATGTTGTTTTTCTGTTCTATAAGTATTAGGGGTCCTAAGTATGGGGGGGGTAGCTTGCCTGGAAGAGAACAAAACTCTGAGCGCCAACCGATGCTTACATTTGACGCCGAGCAGCATGAGCGAGTAAGGGCTTGAACACTTCTTCCGACCCGGATGTTACGGTGGTAAATGGTGGCACTCTTGCCCATGGCTTCGGGATGAAGTTTACGACGTTGCAGACGGAGCGAAGCCCGAGGCAGCCTACCTCCCAGAACTGGGTTTGCCAGACTCCTACAGAAAGCCCTGCATGGACGTCCGAAAGTGACTTATCCTAAGGACCCCACGCCCTGAACCAAGACCCCAGCCAAGTTTCTTGATGCTGTTGTTTGCCTCTTTTCGGGGCGCTTGCTTGCAGGGCTGGAGCCTCTTGCGGAAGGCCAGCAAGCTGCGCCCCCAGCTCCTCTGTCCGAGAGGGTTTAGGTTTAGGCTTTTCGGGTTTGGGGTTGAAGGAGGCGCCTGCACGAATTCCGCTCGAAGGTGGAAGGGCCAATGGTCCCGACATCAGAACTCTAATGGACGGCAACTCCTTGAATTGAAGCTTTTCGAGATTTGCCGGAGGTACAGCAGTTGCCCCTCGCAGAACGTCCCTAAACTCGAAGTCTGTAAGCCCTGGCTCTTTTGACCGTGTTGTCACTTTCCGACTTTCTGTTTTCTGCGGCGGTGGTTGTGCTGGAGGTGCCGGTGTGTGTCTGGTTTTGGGCTTGCAGGCCGAGGCTGACGGCTTAGGCTCAGGATGTCATGCGCAGCAGATTCGCTTCCAAGGTAGTGTGAAGAACAGCTGCTTGCAGGGATAGCGATGCCATGCAGAAGCAACATACAGACCTGCACGCCTGCTTTATACCTAATTATGCATGAGCAGACGCTTTTACAGAACATGTTGCGCATGTGTAGAACACGTATCTAGGTACGCAACATAAGTATACACATGGGATCACATAGGTATATCCGCACGTGTAGATATGTATGCACGCCGATATGCGCAGGATACAGTTGCACTGATAATGCTTTTTGAGGATAGGCAATATAGGCTTATAAAGCTCTTAACAGCCTGGTGCTACCCTCATAATGTCCCCGTTTGTTTCGGCACATCCACAGGCCAGACCGCAGGGCCAGTGAGACAGCCGAGCGGCAGTCTCCACTTGAGGAGGACTGCCAGCCGCTACTAGGGTACTAGATGATATTACATTAGGGTTCAGGGTTTAGGGTAGTTATATCAGATGGAACGAGTACGACGGCTATGTGGGTGTAGTATACCCTACAATCCCTACAATTTGTCAGCAGTGAACTGTAGGATTCGGGTCTGCTTCGCATCCGTGGCAATGGCTGTGTCGGCATGTCGTGGATGCGAAATGCCATCCACTATGCTCTCAAATCACCCGTAATGCGGGTTCTGAAATTTTCTGTGCCTTCTTCGTGACGTCTTCATATTCATGGACCCCATTACTGGGGCTGCATTATGTTTAGGGTTATAGAAGGGCCTCATATTTTCGGAAAATCCCACATGGGGGTTTAGGATTATACTAGGGCAATATTAGGATCTCATAATTTCCGGGGGTTTCCTGTCTTCCGAAGTTGCCATGTCCAGCGCGGCATGGACCAGGAGCTCGACTTCCTTCCTGGGGCAATCCACTCGAGTCCCTGCGCCAGGTCCGTGTACCATGCATATATACATATATATATATATATATATATATATATAATATATATATATATATATATAATAATAATATATATATATAATATATATATATATATATATATATATATATATATATATATGTGTAAGAATATGTGTATATATATATATATATATATATATATATATTATCTGTATCAGATATATTGTTAACTTTCACAATTGTCTGGACGATTGGCCTGCAGGTTAAAGGTGCCTCCATCACAGAAGGCGGGGATCTGCACCGCTGGTGCTCACTCTGGTAGGACGCTGATACTATCTGATCCTGAAACTTGTCAAGTGGGCCATTTCCGCCTCGACTCGACCTGTGCCTCTGATTACGTTGAAATCAAGTCTCTGCTGGACATGGCCACAGGCTCAGCCGGAAGCTCCAAAAGCCCAGCTGTCTGACTGGTAGCCATCCTTAATTGAGATCGTGCTGCCTGCTTTGGAAGGTGGCGGTCGAAGGACTGAGCCTGCAGGTAATCGATTTTGTAGGGGTTTCAGAAAACAAGGGACCCTTCTGTAGCTTCTGTAGACACTTAGAAGGATGTAAAGAAGCTCCCAACGTAGCCTGGGGCATCAAAGGCTTTTCAAGTCTTGCGAGTTCCATGGGCGCAAGCCTTTCTTTCCTTCTCTCTCTCTCTCTCTCTCATTCTCGCTCTCGCTCTCGCTCTCTCTCTCTCTCTCGCTCTCTCTCCCTCCCTCTCTCTCTGTCTCTGTATCTCTGTCGGCCTCGCTCTCTCTCCTTCTTCTCAGCAGTTCCAAGGAGGATCAATGAAGACCCTTCATATTGCCGGCTTGCAGGATCACCATGGGCGTGTTTCTCGCATTCTTCCGTCTCACGATGATGGCTCTTATTTATTCCGACGACTTCCTGATCCGGTATATTCCATATAACAGACCGACCCAATGGAATCATCTCCGCCACCGCGAAGCTTGAGGTGTGGGTGTTTCATTTTGGAACTTGGGGCTTCAGTGTTTCACGAGTTTCACATGGGAAATCTGAGCGGTCTGGAGCTTGATGTTATTGTTGTAACTTCAGTAGGAGAGCTCCACGCCTTCTCCTGGAAAAGAAGATCAGGAGAAGATTGATGGACAAGAACACCCGCACTCCTCGCCACCCTTAACAGAAGAAAAGCTCATGGTCTCGTCGCAGATCAGGAGAAGCCTGTGGTGTGTCGACTCCATCGACAGCTTGCAGTACAGGCTTGCGGTTCGGGGGCCAAGGGGGGTCCTTGCAACCACAAATCCGGGGGGTCTTAACACTAGTCTGCGAAAGAAGCTTGAACAATTAGTACTGTTCCTGAGGGTTCCAGAAACAATTGCAACTTTCGTTTCCGAACCTCAAAACACGACGCGAGTTATCAAGGCTCCTGTGTTCGCGGTACTCCTCATGACGGTCCCCAGTTGTCCTAGTTTCTGAAGCTATCACGGGGAGTGCTCCCTAAAGAGCCT